GCACCTTAGTCCTCAAGCTGACATCTTCAACACTTTCAAAAGGTCTTGTGCAGCAGATTTGCTTAATGCAATACGTCATTTGATCTCTTGACTGCTACTTCTGTGATTGTTGATAGTTGATCCAAGAAGAATGAAGTCCTTGACAACTTCAGTCTTTTCTCCATTCATAAGAATGTTGTTTATTAGTCCAGTGGTAAGGATTTTTGTTTTCTTTACATTGAGATGTAATCCAATTCTTTCATAGCACTTATCATAACTTGTCATTATCTTTGGACTGATTTTTTTTCTCTCTCATAGAATCTAAATTCAATGAGATGGGAACTTTACTAATCCCAATACTAAAAAATTTCTGGCACACTGTTGTTGTTAAGTGCCATCAAGTCAGTTCCGACTCATAGCGACCCTGTATAGGGTTTCCAAGGAGTAGTTGGTGGGGTTGAACTCCCAACCTTGTGGTTTGCAATCCAGTGCTCATCCTATAGCACCACACTAAGTGTCTACAAGAGTCTGGCACACAGTGAATGACTGTGTGAATGAATTTGGTGAATGAATAAATAGGAAGAAAAGAAAAACAGAATGTGAAAATCTCTCAAGTTTCTTCAGCATCCTTTATATGGAGTATGGGGTGCTGAGTGCTATGACAGGTTTAGGGCTCTGACTTTTCTTAACATCTTTGATATTGTCTGATCAAGAGAGAAAAAAAAAGATAATCTAATTTGTGGATAAAAATGACTCGCAAGAGGTGTGGTTATAATCATGGGATTTTAGAACTGGAAGCATTTTAGGTATCATCTTGTCTGGAGAATTTAAAACTGGTTATGCATCAGAATTGTCAGAGGTGCTCTCCCCTATGCTAACAGTACTTGGTTAAGATACAATTTACACACAGTAAAATGCCAAAACTTTTAAGTATCCATCCTGATGAATTTTAATTTATATTTAATTTACACACCTATATAACCACTATTCAGATCAAGATATAGACCATTTCTTTCACTCCTTTTTCAGTCAGTACCCATTCCCGTCCCTCAGAGGTAGCTTCCATTCTGACTCTCATCATCACAGATTAGTTTTTTCTGGACTACCCAAAAGTGGAATGGAGTACAGAATGTAGTCTTTTGTGCCTGACTTATTTTGTTTGGCATATTGTTTTTAGATCTATTTTGTTATCTGCATTTGTTGTTGTTTTTAAGTGCCTTTGAGTCGGTTCAGACCCATAGCGAAGAGTAGGAAAGGCGTTTCCCAAGCAGACAATTGAATCAGTGAGAATTCAGAATAGAACTTCTTTTACCCTACTACAGTGAGACAAGTCAAACTGATAATTAGTGATAAAACCAAGGACATGAATCACAAGAGCATCTATCTATTGAGTAACTACTGTGTGCTAGGTAATGTTCTAGGCACATTAAGACATTTCCTCCTCTCAACAAGCTATATACCACAGCTGAGGAAACCCAAACCCAGGGTCACAAAAGTGTTGAGTATCAGAGAGAGGAAGTGATCTCAGGTCAGAACAAAACAAGAGAATTGGCACCTTTTCTTGAAATGAAAAATATGAACTCCTTTGTTTGGTGGTC